AAAAAAAAAAAAAAAACAGAGAAACCATGCTTAATGTTAGCTATCATTAAATATCACTGCTTCAAAACTGGGCGTGGTGGCGCACGTCTGTAATCCCAGCACTCTGGAGGTTGAGGCAGGAGTATCACTGTGAGTTTGAGACCAGCCTGGGATACATAGTGAATTCCAGGTCAGTCTCAACTACATAGTGAGACCCTGCCTCAAAAAAAAAAACAAAAAAAAAATCTATTAGGCTTAGGAATGGTATGACAAAGCTGTTGGAAATGAAGTACTAACTTATAAATTATTCTTCAGTAAAAAAAAAATCTTAGAATGTTAAAATATACTATTCTGTATATTCACTATTGAAACTATTCTATTGAGTAATTTTTTTTTTTTTTTTGTACTGGGATCGAACTCGGAACCTTGCTCTTTCGAGGCAGGTGGCAGAACCACTGAGCTAAATCCCCAGCCCAGAAACCCTATTACAGACAGGAAATGTAATGTTTAAAGTACGTAATATTGGACTAATATGATCACTCCAACTTAAAAGTTTTCTAACTTATTTATAGCAATTAGTATTTACATTATATGCCTAAATGTTTTGATATAAAGAAAATGTAGGACAGTTAAACCAAGGTTATAGTTATAGTCCCATCTTAGATATAACATTCTTTTTGGGTTTTTTTGTTTGTTTGTTTTGGTTGGGGTTTGGTTGAACCCAGAGCTTTGCACATGCTAGGTAAACACTCTGCCCATGAGCCACACCCAGCCCTACTTTCCTAAACAGCACTCTGGAGGTCAACTCTCATCCTGCTAATCTCTTACCTCACTACAGGGTCTTGCACGCTGCCTCATATTTTGGTAATCTTTGTGTCTTCTTTTCCATCTGGTGATAAGTCCCTTGAGGCTATGTCTTTTTCTACCCAATTATATGCTCTTTAACTGGCTAATTGGCCTCTGGAGAAACTACAGTATATTAAGCAGATAATTCCTCAATGAAAAGAAGCTATTAAAATTTACATTCCAAAATGAATTTCATAAACTGGGCATGGCAGCACATATTTATAACCCTAGCTATTGGGAGGCTGAGGCAGGAGGATACCAAGTTTGAGGCCAGCCTTGGCAAATGAGACCATGTCTCAAAAATAAATAAATAAAGGCAATGTAACTCATTAGTAGGACATCCCTACAGCAATATTCCCTAGAGCAATAATTTTATTACTTCATGCTTACTGCAAGAATATAGATCTTTATACCGTTTTAGTCATTAAATTGTACTTTCTAAACCTAGGCTTGGTGGCACACAATTGAAATCCCAACATTCAGGCAGGTGAGGCAAGAGGATTCCCCAGGAGTTCAAGGGCAGTCTGGACTACATAGTGGGTTTAAGGTTAGCCTGAACTACATAAGGAGAGTCTATCTCAACAAAACAAGCACTTTTTTTTGTTTTGTTTTGCTTTTGTTTTTGTTTTTCAGACAGGGTCTCACTATGTAGTTGAGACTGACCTAGCAACTATGTAGCCCAGGCTGGTCTTGAACTCAGAGCAATCCTCCTGCCTCAGCCTCCCATGTGCTGGGATTACAAGTGTAAGCCACCACGCCCGGCAAAACAAGCACTTTTAAAATGTACTGCTTTTCTGAAAAGTGTATTATTTTCTTAACATGACACTATACTTTCTGTAAAGATGTTATGTCACCATTAATTTTAGCAAAGTTCAGCTTCCAACTTCCTACATTTGAGGGTGTCATAATCCTAACGCTGTGACCAGAAACATAAACTTAAACCAAGATTACTGGACAGTCCTTTCAAACCTCTATCTCTAAAAAAAAAAAATCTTAAAACCAGCATAGCTAGTTTTATTATTAGTTTTTTGGTTTTGGTTTTTTTGGGGGGGTACTGGGGATCAAACTCTCGGGTCCTTATGCTTGCGAGGCAGGCGGCGGAACCACTGAGCTAGATCCCCAGCCCTATTATTAGTTCTTACCACCACCTTCTTCCTCAAATATACAGCAGTAATCTGTGCTTCTGGCTTTTCTACCCTACCCTCTGCAAAAGGTCTCAAATTCATTCACCACATTAAAGAGGCAAAAACTGGGAGCCTGAGGCAAGAGGCTCCGAAGGACAAGCCCAGCTTGGGCAATTTATCAAAACTCCCAAAATAAAGTTCTGGGTATGTAGCTCAGTACGAAGGGTTTGGGTTCGACCCCCACTGTGTGTGCGTGAAATACGGGTGTGGGAGCTGTGTCCCTGGTTTCTGTGGCAGATGTGCCAGTCTGTTTCCACGTGTACCAAATCAAAGTTGTGATTAAAGGTTCCTAAAACCCTTACTAGGTCAGGTGATCTCCCTTGGAGACGTCTGCAGTCTTGAGCGTTATCATTCACCCGGCTTCATAGTGCACCTAAGACGCCATCAGATGGCGTCGCTCCAATTCTGTTCACTCAGCAGATCTGGCTGAACACTGAGCCAGGAGCGCACCAGACGAAAGAAAGCTGCGAGTAGCGCACCAGACGAAAGAAGCGCGGGAGACCTAAGGAGCAGGGAGCGCTGTACCAGCTAGTTGAGGAGAAGCTGGGCCGTCCGAGTGCGGGGAACGCCGGGAGCGGGCGGGAGCGGAGCTCGCTCCTCAGCGGAGACACTGAGGTCCCGAAGGCTGCTCGCACGGCCTCCCCCGCCCGCGGCACCTGGGGACCGTCCCGGACGGGCGCTGCGCCCAGAAGGCCAGAAATAGCGTCTGCAGCTTACAGGGGAGAGACCGGAAAGCAAACCACCTCAATAGAGACAGCGGCGAGAAAGAGCAAACGCTGTACTCACAGGCGGAGCCCGCCCACACCTTTCGGGCGCGGAAGCACAGTGCCCTCTGCTGGTGCGGCCATCTCGCCTTGTCTGGAGGGCACGCTTCCGGTCTCCAGGGTTACGCGAGACACAAGGGAAGTCTCGCGAAAGAGCTCTGTGGAACGCAGTTTTTCTAACCTGTAGTTCCTACACGGAGAGGTTTTAATTCTCCGAACTAATAGACAAGAAAGGAGCACCGCGAAAAGAAAAGAGCCAGCAACAGGATTGGGCCTGTAGGGCTGAGCGGAAGTCCTGCCCCTCGGCCCGGAAGGAAGTGAACGTCCGGGTGGCTACCCGAGCGCTTGCCGACGTGCGCGGTAGTGAAGCTCTCTTTGGAGCGTGTGGCTCTCGCTGTTAGTTCACAGGTGGCTGCATTCGCTGAGTCGCTGTCAACCTGAGACGGTGTGTAAGTCATGGTGAGGAGATCCGGGCGTCGCGGAGCCGCCAGGTGGGCAGCTGTGCAAGCTGGGGGAGGTCGCACCGCGGCAGACGAAAATGGAGACGATTTAGCAGGACCACCCTCGCCCGGGGACTCCAGCTACTACCAGGATGAGGTAGATGACTTTCATGAGGCGCGAGCTCGGGCAGCCTTGGCCAAGGGCTGGAGCGAAGTGGAGAGCGGGGGTGAGGAGGATGCCGAGGAGGAGGAGGAGGAGGTGCTGGCCCTAGAGGTTGACGATGAAGACGAAGACGGAGAGAGTGAGAGGGGGGAGGAGGAGGACGGTGATGACGATGATAACGACGGTGGCAGCTCCGTTCAGAGTGAGGCTGAGGCCTCTTGGGATCCCAGTTTGTCTTGGGGTCAAAGGAAAAAACTTTACTATGACACGGACTATGGCTCCAAATCCCGAAGCCGGCAGAGTCAGCAAGAAGCAGAGGAAGAGGAGAGGGAAGAAGAGGAGGAGGCACAGGTCATTCAGCGGCGACTAGCCCAAGCCCTGCAAGAGGATGATTTTGGAGTCGCCTGGGTGGAGTCCTTTGCAAAACCCGTGCCTCAGGCAGAGGAGGCAGAAACACGGGTCGTGAAGGATTTGGCTAAAGTTTCAGTAAAAGAAAAGTTAAAGATGCTGCGAAAAGAATCACCAGAGCTCTTGGAGCTCATAGAAGACCTAAAAGTCAAGTTAAGAGAAATGAAAGATGAGCTAGAGCCATTGTTACAGTTGGTGGAGCAAGGAATCATTCCATGTGGAAAAGGGAGCCAATACCTGAGGACCAAATATAACCTCTACTTGAATTATTGTTCCAACATCAGTTTTTATTTGATCCTGAAAGCTAGGAGAGTCCCCGCACATGGGCATCCTGTCATAGAGAGGCTTGTTTCCTACCGAAATTTTATCAACAAGCTTTCAGTTGTGGATCAGAAGCTGTCCTCTGAAATTCGACATCTGCTTACATTTAAGAATGGTGCTGTAAAAAAAGAATTGAACCCAAAAGCAAAACTCACCAAAGCCAAACCAAAGTCTGCTTCAAAGACTTCTGCTTCTGGGAATCTCACTAGTTATTCAGATTTTAATGAAGAACCTGCACTGAAATACTGTAAAGAAATAAAGGACAGGCAAAAGTTAAAGAGAAAGAAGGAAGAAGCTAGCGCTGAAGAACAGGCTCTTGAAGATCAGAATGCAAAGAGAGCCATTACCTATCAGATTGCTAAAAATAAGGGACTCACACCTAGGAGGAAAAAGATTGACCGCAATCCCAGAGTGAAACACAGGGAGAAGTTCAGAAGAGCCAAAATTCGCAGAAAAGGCCAGGTTCGTGAAGTTCGAAGAGAAGACCAGCGTTATAGTGGTGAATTATCGGGCATTCGTGCTGGAGTTAAAAAGAGCATTAAGCTTAAGTAAAATGTTTGCTTAGCTTGAAGTTTTCGACAATCATGTTAGATTAATAAATTTTTATTTTTAACTAAAGTGATTGTGTAAGTAATATATTAGTTAAGCTTTCAAGTTCATGCCAGGGAAGGTAGGGTAGGGAGCTTATTCTTTAATTGGTGGGCCCTTTAGTTGATATTAAAGTTATATAAACTGTAGGAGCAGTGTGAAGATGCTTGGGAAAGAGATAGTGCTGATGGTGTGAAACTTTGTTAAGTACTAGCCTCAGAAAGTTTTCCACTAAATTAATTGTGGAGTGTTAATGGAATTTAAGCACTTGTATAACTTTACATAAATAGACCATACCTTAGTCATCTTATCTGTAAGACAGTGTGTAGAAATAGTTCTGACATGTATTTAATTTGCCTAGCTACACTGCTTGGGAAGGATACCTACTAAAATTGAGGTAGATTTTGTGAAAGTATAGGAGTAAAGCTCAGGATTTAGCTCAGTGGCACCGTGCCTACTTTGCAGTAGCACTGTGCTACCTCACAAACACAAGGTCCTGAGTTCAATCCCCAGTAACAAAAAAAGTATAGGAATAGAGAGGAACTTTGATTATAAGTAGAAAAAGGAAAAATATGCCTTAATTACATGAATTGTGAATATTTTCTAATAGTCCATGTGATAAATAAGGTGAAAATTTCATTTCCCTTTCTGTGCTGGTGGTTTCCATTGGTTGCTGTTTGTACTCCTTTTACTTAATTTTTTTTAAATGTTAGTTTAAATGGCAAATTCAAAAGATAACAAAGTTGCATTTTCCTTGCAGTTATTCTGGTCCCTATAATGAGGGAAATATTGATACTTAATTTTAAAATATTCAGGGCTTTGCTAGGAAGAAAATGAGAAGACTGACAAAGGAAAGCACAGAAGTCAGCACTTATTCATTAAACATTGTGTAGTAACTTGGAGATGCAGTGATGGCCAGTGGTTACTGAACACTTGCCAGGTACTAATTGTACCTCTCTCAGTATCACAAAGAAGATGCTAAAGTTCTGGGAGGTTAACTTTCTAAGGGACACTTGCGATTTGAACCTAAACTATCATAATATGAGCATTTATTCTTTTCACCCTGTAGTACAGCTGCTTTCTCAAAGTACCAAATATGCCAAATTCTTTTTGGTTTTTTTTTTTTTCCTTAAAAGTAGGTTGGAAGTGAAAGAATTAAGTGTTCACTACTCCCCTGAATTATTTCCTTATTCCTCGAAACCCTATGTGGTAAATTCTGTTGTCCACATTTTGAAGATGAGGAAATTGTGGGAAAGAGAATGAACTTTCTCAAGGTCACCTGGCTATTAAATAAAAGGGAGAATCTCAACCGAGCCTTTCTGGCTTCAGAGTCCATTCACATACTTCTTTTTCTAATAAAGTAGAAAAAAATACAGATTTCAGCGTTAATTACCGGGGTATTTTTGAGTTAGTCTCTGAGTTGCATTTTTCTTTTACCCTTGAAAAGCTATAGAGGAAAGATTAAGAGCAGACGGGAGTTAGAGTACTTAAATTCCTAACTCAATCCCCAACAGTACCTGGGGCTTAAATTTCTTGATGTCTTTGTTCCTTGCTGTTTTTATCTAAAGCTTGAATAATAGCTGTGTCTTTTTGCAGGATTATTCTAAGGGCAAGGTGGGATAATATCTGTAAAGTATTTAGGACGTGTGTCGGGCTATCATCTAAGGAGTGCCAGCTTGTTGGGGAGGAAGAGCTTAGATACCTGTGACAGGTTAAGTGAAAATACAAAGTTAAGGGTTGAAAGTGTTTTATGTTATGTGTCAAACCCCTGAGATAGATTAAGATAGAATTGTGTTGAGAAATGTTTTAAATGAAAAAAATCTTCATTTAGGAAAGTGGAAAAAAAAGTCTGATATAGTGTCAGACACTTCACTATAAATACTCATTCTGGAATAGGTAGGATGTAGCTATTGCTGTCTTACAAATAAGACATGGATGGCTATTTCAGATGTAAGTTAATAGCAAAAGAAGTTGCTGGATGTAATATTCACATCTCCCAAAATTAGTTGGGTTTTTTTGTTTATTTTTGAGACAGGATCTCAATGTAGCCCAGGCTGGCCTCAAACTGGCAGTGATCCTCCTGCCTCAGCCTCCCGGGTGCTGGGATTACAGGAGTGTGCCACTACACCTCACAGCCAAAATTAATATTTATTTTAACAGACATTTAGAGAGCACACAAAAGTGCTGAGTACTGTTGGGATGCAGAGCATGAATAATAATTGTTAAGCAGTATAATGACCATTTTTCAAACGCTGAACTCTAGAGCTTCACAAATCAGATTTCCGGTAAGGTAAATAACTCCTATCAGGCATCAAGACCAAATAACCTATTTTATAACAGCATAGTAAAATAATGAACAGCACACCTGTAATCCCATTACTCAGAGGCTAAGACAGGAAGACCACTGAATTGGAGGCCAGCCTGGGGTACATAGTCAAGCAATAAAATATAGACAGCTATGGAAAATACGACTACAAGAAAACCTTACTGGTTAATGCCATTAACCGGTTGACTGGCTTCCTGGTAGCTGATTTCTCTAAACCACAAGTTTCTTAGCTGTACAAAATTGGAAGTTATTTTTTGTGATCCTAATAATTAGCTTAAATAACTGGCTTGATATGGAATATATTTGACATTGAAGGAATGCCTAGAATTGCTTATTTTGTCTTGCTGTACCTGAAAAACTTTTAGTCACTGAATTTTTTTTTTTTTTTTTTTTTTTTTTTTT